ATTCAAAATTTTAAATACGGATTGATGTAGCTGCTACTATAGCACTGAGACGATAAGCTAAAGATGGAAAGAGAAACCAGTCCCAGGCATAGTTGCTAGAAATCTGTCGACTCTGATAATTTGGCCCCAGCCTCCGCCCGCTTTGATTTACCTTTCGGGAAAGTTTTAACGAAATTAAGTTCCGGTGTAAATTTTGGAAGGTAGATGGGTTTGTAGATAAGAAATTACACAAAGATTTCACCCTCATTTTGCTAGAACTTCATGATATGAGTTCTGGTTTCCTATATGTGCAAGCCCCTATAGTTAATTACCCCTCCTGATAATGAGAGAGAACTTTTAACTAAGACTAATCATCAATTAGATACATTAAATCCATGAAAATATAGTATCAGGCATATTGTAATAACATGGGTTTGGGTATTTGAATGGGTTGATATTTAAAATTAGAAATTTTACCATCTTGCACTTAAAGCGAATGGTAGGGGAATGAATGATGGACCCGATCAAGATCCCATGGTTCCTTCGTCCTGGGCCATCATGGTCCCTGGTCTACTTAGTCAAAGGATGTAGTTGACCCAACCTGACAAAAAGATCCTTGTCGGTAGTCATGGGTTGTGTCGTCCAAGGGTACCTTATAGACCTGTGGTGAATATTTATCTCCAGGGACAAATTTGAATACATATTAGCTAACAGAGGGCTTTGTGCCCTATCGATTATATCCTATTAATTCATATCTCAAGGATTTGATTCCACTAAAAAATGCATTAGCTATGACCTTAACCAGTATTTCGTGGTGCCATTTGACAACAGAACCACTCAGTTAAGAGGTCCCCAGGTCATAACTGTTTATCCTGCGGTGCCATTTGGCAGCAAAACCACCGGCCAGAGTACAAGTACCACATCCTTATTGGCAGGAGATTATTTGAGAATGGGTCGAAGTGATATTTTTGAATAGGCATTAGATCTTAATGAGTTAAAATAGTTTTTTATTTGTCCACCCCTAACAAACTGTTGCAGATGGTGGATGAATTTTACTTAAAGTATTGATGGGTTTATTTAAATTTTAAATATCTTTGGATTTTTTGGACTATTAGATTTTTATGGGCATTTGGGTAGAGCTTAAAAGGTATTAGAAAGTGTTTGTGAACCCCTCCGATTCAGATAAATATTCAACACGGCCATCATCAGGGTGTTATAGGGCAATTTTCATTTCTTGATTGAACTCTATCGACTCTGTCGGGCTATTAACAGAGAATCAGGTTTTGTAGGCTTTATGTAATTATTGATGAATTTTTATGTTCATAGGCCTTGAAGGCCTTATATGAATGTATTAAAATAAATTTTTCGGTCGACACTGTGACTATATATTTGTTTGGTAGTTTGAACCATGTCAACTCTTATCCATATATATAGAAGGATCAGGCTCGAACTATATTCATTTGTTGATCCACAGAACATCCCTAAATGCCATGTGTATACCCATAACAAGCTCGTCGAGGCTCATGTGGGTGTGTAATTGTATCTACTCATGGTGTACCTATGTGTATACAAACTACAGTGCATATGCAGGAGTATTTTTTGGATATTTGACAGATGTACTACGAGTCTCCCATAATAGCTTACAGGAACCTGTGTTTTTTATAATCCTTCTGTACTTGCCCGTGGATGGTGTGTCGGGTGGAAGACCATCTTTCATCAAGAAGCTTGCAAGCCTCAATAATCTTATCTAACTCAATGTTCAGAAATTGGTTGAACTGAGATTCACTCATTCCATAATGATTTGATATAGCTTTTTATTCCCATGACTTGTATGGAAATCAATAAGCAACTCCCTCATCATGCTATCATCATAATTTTTTATGGTTGGCTTAAATAAAGAATAAATCATTTCAACCTTGGATGACTGTGTCTTTACTGATACCCTATTCTTAGGAATTAGAATCCTCATTCTTGTATTAATGATTTATCTTTTTTGCTATGTATCAAATCCTTCTAATTATAGGGAATCAATGTTTTTGACTGATATTAAGTGACTGTTAATTATTATATGGTTTAACATCCACTACATATCGTTCATCGTTACCTTTGACCGAATTTCTATATGAAAGAGACTTCTCCCACATCTAATGACCTTCCTTATATGTGATGAGTCTCCTACGACAGTTTATGGGACGTTAATACATTTGCTTGACACAAGACATTGTTTATAGTAGGAGCGTCATAGTATTCACTATATGACTCTTGAGTCCATTTGTACATTAGCAAGCCACTGTATTCATTTGTATGTATTTCACTATTGTTCCTAAACACTAACAAGTCTCTCCTAGTTGCTTTACAAGGGATCGATGTGCTCAACTACACCAAATTTCTTTGACTATAGGAGTGTCACATTTCAATCTCAACTTAATATTTCTTTGATGAATTAGCGCATTCGCCAAAAATTTCCTCTTTGCGGTGTCTACAAATTGATGTAGTTGAGAAGTTATTACATTTGTTGCATCTCCTGTATCTACTTCTGCCATTGCATCCCTCACAATCCTCTTGCATATGTTAGAAGGGTGGTGGATAGTATGATGACAAGTTTCTGATTTCATACTCGCTCTTTGTCAACCACCACCTTCATACACTGCTAATAAACATATCATGTAGCAGCTCATTATTCATAAACATGCTGCATTCTTTACATGTCATTTGATATTTTGCTTCATTTATTAAGCTTTGGCTTTTAAATATTCCACAAGAAATCGATGCACTTGCTTGTGAGTGAGTAGTGTTTGTAAGCAAGTTATGTTTGAAGTCTTTTATTCAAAAGTAATTCTAAAACTCATTCATTTGCATTTGATTAAGAATTCACTATTTTCTAAATTATGATTGCATTTATCATTTTGAGATCCAATTCACCATTTAGTGGCTTGTGGCATGTTTTCTATAGTTTGAATGAAGTTCACTTTGGATCTAAATCAAATTCTTCTTGGTTGGATTTAATTCAAGTCTTCTGTCGTTTGTTTGAGTTCAAGTCCCACATGATGCCATTTAGTTCAAGTTTAAATATTGTTATTTGCATTCAAGCAAAACTCCTTGCATCCCAGATCAAGTTCAAGTCCACGTTCTGTTCATTGATGTTTGTTTGGACAATCAAGATTATTGGTAAGCCCTTTATATTTCCAATGCGATCCTGAGTTTGATTTTCTAAAAATTGTTCATTTGAGTCTAAGTTCACAAGTCCTTGTTATCATATTGAATTACAAGGTCTTAAAGCATCTTGTTCAAGTTTGAATTTAGTTCATTTGAATTCATTGTGAATTTGAGTTCAAATTTAATGTCAAAGTCCTCTGTACGAGTTCCCTATGGTCCATCCAAATATTCAAGTAATTTTTAAATTCAAGTTCATGTGATTTGGGTCCTTTTCAATTAAATTCAAGTATTTTTTTTTAATCATTTTGTGTTCAAATACAAGTCCAAGTCCAAATCTAAGTCCTCAATTCGTTAAAATTTTCGGCAACCTCCCGACGTTTCCCCTGTTTAGGAGAAACTATGGGAAACTAGGCCTTCCCACCATGCGAAGAAAAGCGTGTATGGTAAGTGTCCTCGAACACCGCAGATATATTTTTTTCGTCCACCACCACACTATGAAAAGCGTGTATAGGTCTTCTACATCATCTATTTGAATAGGTTGTTATTTCTACGCAAGCGGATACTTATGTGTATCTTCACTTTGCCGTATGCATAGCACCGGGTTCCCATCCCACCACGCTAAGAAAAGCGTGTATAGGTGGTTTTTAGGTGCGATGTGAACGCTGGAGAAAAGATTTTAAGTGATCACCCGATTCGTCGAGAGCACCGTGATGAACTTCGTCGCACCACGCTAAGAAAAACGTGTATATGTGATCGTTTTGTCGTGTTGCAAGCATCAAAGGCATGTTCTCTGAGTTTTAGAGTTTAGAAAGGGTTATACCTTGACGACCGGCTGGTGTAGGGTACAAAAATTGAGGCAACACTTCTTTTTTTTTTATTTCTTTCTCTTTTTTTGTCTCTTTTCTTTTTGGTACAATAACAACAACAACAATAAAAATAATACTACTAATAATAATTATTATTAGATAATAATAATAAGTAACATTATCATTAAAAAATTAATAATGATAATAATAACAATTATTATTATTATGATTACTAATATATATTATAATGTCTAACTAACCATGTTAAAATGAATACAAAAAGCCTAGAAAATTTCTAACTTAGTGTTGGGTAGAGTAGGCTAAGTAGACTCAATTGAGTGGACTGAGTTGAGTGGATTGAGTGAGTGAGCTGAGTTGGGTTGAGTGGGTGAGTTGGGCAGAGTTAGAGGAATCAGGACATGTTATTAGGTGTATAGTAGAGATATGGCTCAGTTTAGGTAGAGAGGAGGTCCACGAGTTAGAGCTGGTTTGCGGCTTGGGATTCATCAAGGCAGAAGGTCGGAAGAGGTGAATCGACTCAGGTAGGAAGAACTTTCTCAATCTCTCTCTCTCTCTCTCTGGAGTGTGTGGATCAAATGGGTCGGAAGGTGGAAAGGGAGATCGGGATTTGCAGCAGGTTCTTTTGGCTTAATGCAGAGGAAGGGAAGCATGGCTTCGGGTTTGCGGCTGTGGGATTCAGCCAGATATGGGGTTCGACGGGATGAAAGGTTAGCAAGGAAGGTAGATACAAGATGGGTATCTCTCTCTCTCTCTCTCTCAGGAAGCAGGAGACTATAACAGTGGTGGGTCTTCGGAAGTATTTGCGGGATTTCAGTGGGAGGTCCGTACAAATTTTTGCTATTTTTGTTTCTTTGTATGGATGTTAAAATTTTTGTGCTAAAAAATTATTTTAAGAAGCAACAAAATGAATTAGTCCAAATAATACTCTCAATCAAATTATATTTATCAATTTTGCACATAACATCTCCATCTATACTCTCTACTGCACACCTGCAGCTGTTAGTACTAAACCATGCCTAAGATGAATTAGTCCAAATAATACTCAATCAAATTATATTTATGATCATCAAAATTATATAGTGAAGCTAGGCTCATGAGTTCAACACATACAATATGACTTTTTGGCAACAATTACACCGAACACCTTAAAACTACCATCCATCAAGAATGGGAAAAAAATTTGCAAAAACTACAGAGCCTATGAGTGAGATAATAATAGCTGCCCCACGATCTAATGCAGTTCTCATTCATTCCATAGAAGCATTATTCAAAACGTTTGAGGCCTGGATAAAACAAACCTTTTCATTTGGATTTAGCAGGCCTTTATGCATCCGCCTTCCACTACTCTTCCTTTCTGAAGACATAACTACGGCGTGAATCACTTCCGTCCATTTGAAACGAGCAAAGAGAAATCCAAGGAAGAAGAGTACATAGGTGGGGAGAGAACTTTGCAAGCTTTTAGATTTAACCTTCGCGAGATTTGATGAATCATTGTCTTGGCCATTCTTTGTATCAAATGCTTTCCTTTCAACTGTAAGAAAGAAGCAGAGATCAATACGTTTGCCAAGTAAAATAGCTACTTAAGAGAGAAAAATTCAAGAAGAATGTTGAACATGTCTTTCCTTGCATAAATATTTTGTCCTCAGCCTCGTTCTCCTGGGAGCAATAATTGGCCCATTCAAGGAATAAACCAGATGCAAGTAATAGCATTGGTTGCGCATCTGAAGTCTCTTTTGTAATCCTCATTTCAACTTCTTTTGCCCATTAATCAAATTTGTAACAATTATGAGATGGGGGGGTGGAGGGCGGCGCAATAAAAATACTTTTAAAAACAAAAGAAAAACAAAATTCAGGATGATACCTCCCATCAAGTCTTTAGCTACAACTTCCATGGTGATTCCGTCAGAGAAATCAGTATAATCACTATCTGGGTTTGATTCTTCTACCAAGTTGGAGTTTTCGCTGTTCTTCAATATTTGATCCGGAAAAATTATTGCTACAAAGGATTCAACATTATTATGAATTGGCTTTGATGCTTCTACAAATTCCAAGTTGGCGGTGCTCTTTTCCATGATTGGATGATGTGTCTTTTCACTAAGTGAATTTCTGTTGTTCTTCTCTTTAGTGGTAACTGCATTAAAAATTGATAGTTTAAAAAAGGCTTGTAGATGAATAACATGCAAAATTATCTTTAAAGAGGGATATACAACCTGGGATGGATTTCACAGGCTGATTCTTATCCGGGTATCCTTCGGAGCAGCATTCAGAGCTTTTGTGGAATGGATTTGATACTAATTTGCACTTGGTATTAACTTCTCTTCTTAGTTCATAACTTGTTTCTTTCTTTCCTGCTTTTGATTCAATGACTGCAATTGTTCATTAAACTAGAGGTAATATGAAGTCAAACAGTCGGTTAAAAAAAAAAAGAGAATGTGTGATGGGTAGCCAACCTCCTTCAGATATGTTCCTGTGGCTGACTGCTTTCTTTAATTCCTGTTGGTTGTTTAGCTTCACCACTAGAATAATACATTTGTTAGATTTGAAAATCGTGATTCAAGTCAGATAATTTGGAAGAATGAGCACAAGCTCACCATGCCCACGCATTTTCCCCTCAGGGAAATTTTGAAAGAAATATTCAGCACAAACATGGTATGGGTTTGATGCAAATTGGCACTTCGGATTTACTCCTTTCTCTTCGGGGACAACGACTTTAGTTTCTTTGTTTGGCTTCATAATAACTGAAATAGTTTTATTTATTAGAAAATAAACATTAAAATTGGACAAAAATTTTGAGGAAATGAATAGCCAACCTCCCCGAGCTTTGTTCTGATCAAGTTCATTTTGAAAGCAATCAGAATCACATTCATGATATGGGTTTGATGCAAATTTGCACTGAGGGTGCACATTTGTAGTTTCTCTTATGCTGAGTAGTTTCTTTATACTTCTTAGCGTCATGACTAGAATAAAATATTGTTTAGATTATGAAACCATAATCCAAGATGGAGAATTTAAAAGAATGAACACAAACTTACCATGTCCACGTCTTTCCCTTTCTGGGGCTTTTTGGAAGCAGTATTCAGCACATGTATGGTACGGGTTTGATGTAAACTGGCATTCGGGATTCGCCAATCTCTCTCTGTAAAGGGCTATTTTATTTTCTTCCTTGGACTTCGTGGCAGCTGAAATAGATTTGTTAGTCAATAAATAATAGTAAATTTTGAAAGAACAAAATGCCCGATTGCTTACCTAGCCCAAGCTGGTCATTCTCAGGGACATTTTTGAAGCAATATTCAACATATGGATTTGATACATTTTCACGGTTTGAATTCATCTCTCTTTGCGGCTTGGGAACCACTTCCTTTTCATCCTTTGCAAACGTCATAGCTGAAATTATGTATTGGTTAGATTATCACTACCTGATTGGAAAAATACATCATATGGATTATATCGCCAAGAGACTGATTATCTTCGGAAACATTTTGCAAGTAGTATTCAACATAAGCGTGGTACGGTTTTGATGCATTTTTATACAGAGGTCTTATTCTTGTTTCCATAGGGTCAACTACCACTTTCATCTTCTTTTAAATTCTTCATTGTTAAATAATGTACTGGTTAAATTATGAACAATGAATTGGGAAGGATGCAAAATTATTACTCACCTTCCAAATCCTGGTCCTCAGGTTGGCTGTGGAAGCAACTTTCATCGTATATGTTGTACTGGTTAGCATTTAGGCACTCAAGTTTCACTTCACTCTTAGAAGCTAATGATGTTTGGATTTCCTCCTTTGGATTCATGGCTGCAACATGTTAACTTGAATTGCAAATAAGATGATCTTTTACAGCAAAAGAAGCCGAAGCTAATGTGAGGAATGATTAATTACCTTTCTCAGGAAGCATTTGTTCAGGGGTATTCTCAAAGAAACATTCAAAACCATTATGGCATGGAATTGATACATGCAACTGTTTAGGAAGTGCACCGCTTTCTTGAGAATTAGTAGAATCATCCATGGGATTCTCTGAGATGAATTTAATAATTGGAAATAAGAAAAATCATGGATATGAAAAAAAAATTCCATTTGCTAACTTTAATCGATATCAACCTAAATAGAGAAAGGGAACGACAAGGTAAATGCTTAATTCCTCTAAAATATTCACTTGTGCTTCATAAAAAAATCATTTCAACTTTTGAAAAACAAGCAATACATTGCACTTAGTAAACTTTATCTCACCACCATCACGTGTGTTACTATCTGGCCCATTTTTGAAGCAGAAATCAGTACATTCATCATGAGGGTTTGATGCATACATGCACTGAGATTGAAGACTTGTTCTACCGCAACTGCTGAATATCTTCTCTCCCTCTAGATTATTTAGCTTCATGACTAAAATCATGCATCAGTCAGATTATTATAACAAAATTCGAATAATGTAACCAAGTTGCCTACCTTGACCACGTTGCTCCCCATTAGGGATATATTTGAAGCAATATTCAGCACATTTGTGATAAGGATTGGTTGCATTTTTACAGTCAGGATGCACATCGCTCCTCTCTGTGATAACCCAGATTCTCTTCGTCCTCTCTGCTATACAATTAACATTTGACAAAGAGATGAATGAAAACCTGAGAATTCTTCTATTTTAGCTCACTTATATATTGATGGAGAGTTTATCTCTCACACAGAAAAGTTGAAGCAAAAGATAGGATGCATGGTTTTCTTGGTTTGGTTCAAGTTAGCGACATTAGTCATAATTCTAGCTGAAAAAAAAATTATTAATTTGTATTTATGAAAACTCCAATAATGTTGGTCCATATAGTCCATACAACACCTTAAATCACTTCATTCCTAATACCTTTTCCAAAGCATTTTAACAGGTTCACCTAGTTGCAAGATTATAACACTAAGGGTTGCTAGTAGAATCTGTAACATCGAATGAATTCTGAGTGAAATTAAAGTATCCAAGCTAATAAGGAACATTTAACACGGATAATTAGAAAAGTTGAAAGAAGCTGTAACAGATTTTTTTACCTCTAGTGTTGGTCGAAAAGAAATTTCCAGCACACGAGTTGAAGGACTTCACTGCCTTTAAGGAGGTTGGGGTCTCACCCTTTCTCTGTACCTTTGTCATTTCCTTGTTTTGCAATGGATACTCCAGTACCTCTGTTATCAAAAAAGTTCCAGAATTTTACACAAAATCAAACAAGGCATGGCTTCAAAAGTGGCAATTGGCAAATTTCTAAGAAGGGACACATTGATATGCAAAATAGCTTTCGGAACAATTAGTAGGAGATGGGCTGAAATGGCCTCGTTTTATTTTATTTATTTTTTCCTGATTCAGCATAGGTTGCTTTGGAGTAGAGTTTGAGCAAGCATAAATCGGAGATCATCATTTTCACTAAAGCCAAGTTCGAATGGTGTCAAAATTACTTGAAATCATGAAAATGGGTTGAGTCGAAAAAAAAAAGTCTGATTTAGATTCGTTTAAACACGGCCCACGATACCCATACAATGAATAAAAAATAATAATAATAACAATGAAGTGGCCCAATCACCGCCTCAACAAATAATTGGAGTTAAGGCGCAATTTGCTAGATGAATAGGTGACCTATTACAATTTAAGCACCTAAAGCTGTTTTCCGAATAACAGGTTTCCCATCATACGAATTTTAAATAGTCAATCTCCACATAATTAAAGGCTAGCACCTACTTAACATTATAATAAAGTAAAATTAAGCAATATGATGTTAACCTTTAATCACACTTCACTAGTACCTAGTAACCTCTGAAATTACTAAACGATAAGAGGGGGGGTGAATTGTAAAAGTCTTTTTCTTAATAAAATTAACCCTAAACAAGAGTTCTAATTTTTTTGTTGTTTTTGAAATTTTAAAACAAAGATTTATGCAATTTTACTTTCACAAAATTTCACATGCAATAGATATGACAAATTTAAAATGCAAGTAAAAAGTAAACAACGATAAAGAAAGAACACACCAAGAATTTTATAGTGGTTCGGTCAAAATATGACCTACGTCCACTCCCCGGAGTCCTCCACTCCGGGATTTTCACTATCAAAATAGTTCTCCTTTTGCCCCCCTCGGCAAGGCGGAGAAGCCTGTACAAACCTCCCTTTCACCAACCCGGCGTGGCGGAATACCAAACTCTATTTTCGCCCTCTTGGCGACGGCAGAGAACCTTCTCGTTTTTCTCCCTCCTGGAGAAGGCAGAGAACCTCGAGGTAACGGATGTAGACGAGCCTTTCCCTTGGAGATCCTCCCTCAAATCCTTCTCGGGCCACAGGAGGAGCAAGATGCAGCAAGCTTGGAACAATCGTGTGATCTCCCTCACACCTCTTCTCCCTCACAACGCTCACCTCCTCCTTCCTCTCAACCCTCAAGAATTTCTCTTGAGTTTTCTCCCT